AATTCCTGAAATTGGACTGAGAAACTGCAATAAAGCATAAGCAAACAAGAGAAATCTACAAAACTGCAACAATAATAAAAAATCTACAGGCTGCAACAAGTTAAACAACTTCAATGAGAAATTTTCAAAGTATACCAGCGTTCAGGTCTTTCTCCATGGGTTGTGAAAACTTAAAACTGGGTAATAAACAAATGAAACTAACTGTTCAAAGTATATCATAGGTATTATAACAAACCATTAAGGAGAGCTACAATGAAACAAAAAGGCCAAAATAAAACACTTCACCTCACTGTCAGAGCCCTTTGAAGAGTCATGGCCTGGATCAGAATCAGCTCCTAGACTCACAACATTTCTTCCTTGTCCTCATTTCCATTGTCACATGGATCGAGCACACTTTTCACCTATGAAACAAAAACCATCAGCTCAATTCCCCTACAAGATGAAGTGTGAACCAAACCACTCAGTTTACCTTGAGTGCCAACACAAAATGATTGTTGTTGACATTTCCAACCTCCATCATAAGAGGACTTTTAGTCCATGGATTGTGGGCATCTTCCTCTGTGCACCCCCTGAAGAAGGGCATCTCATAGTCTGGAGGCTGTAATTTTCATAATACTTTAGTGACACTGTTCTAGTATAAAACAAGTTAATTGTGAAGTGAAACTTTTACTATGGAAATCCATAGGATCATCGAGTTACTCAGATCCAGAAGTACTAAACACTACATAAGAAGAGTCTTCTAATAGGAAGCATACCGTGATAACGTCATAGTAGAGGAGTTTCATCAGTATAGTGCACTGAAAACAAAACATAATTATGAGTCGCTATATGAATTGATCAACTTGCAGACATCTTGTCATCAACGCTACCAACTACCAAAAAAATTTACCTCTTCAGGCATCTCGTCAAGAGTTCTCATCAACTGAACAAGAGTGCGCACTTACAAGCGAAACTAGATGAACAAGAAAAGTTCATCAGTACCTTTCTCCATCCAGTCAATCAGTCGATGAGATTCAGCATCCATAGCATCAACTTCTTGATCTTCATCTCTATTTACTGAGCCATAGTTTACAAACAAGATCACCGACTTTCTTTTCAAAATTTATAGAGAAGAAGAGATGTAGCTGATATTGAAGACAAGCCGCTGATGTAGCTGATATTGAAAAATGGTGAAGCAAAGAATACCTCTACTTCAAACCTTGAGACTTTGGTAGAGATGGGATTCAGTAAACTAGCTTCACTGGTCAAGATAAACATGAGCTGCATATATTAATCATGGGTTATACTGTCTCTTTTTGCATAACCAGTAGGATCAAATAGATTCATTGTGTATATTAATCATTGGTCCTTGATGACCTCGATTCCTTTTCCTTTGAATAACATAAAATGTGTACAAACCAGAGAAGAAATCCCCTGAAACCCATGTGAGAGTACATTTGCTAACCCTGCCTTTCTGATTCATTGCAAGTCAATTAACTAGGAATACCCAGAAAATCAAGTTCACTAACGCAACCTAACAGGAAAGAAACAAATAAATGATAGAATCTAAGGCAACAATATGCGCTAATAAATACACAAAATTACATAACAGAACCAAGTAGAATACATTGCTTCTCATGTTTTCTCTAAGCACCCAAGTGGTGGAACAACGAACCAAAACAAAATAAAGAATCAAGAAATTAGAGCAACGTCCACATGTCGTATTCTATTAAACTATGCACATGCAATTACTCCTTTCAACTTCAATTATCATCATCTGTTGTTGTTCATGCCATTTATCTATGTGCTTGAGTTCCCCCTGTAATAGAGTCTACTGTTGAGCATCAGACCCTTCTCTCCCACAACACTTGCTAAACATCCAAAAAAATGACAGAAACGAACAACTGAACATACATAACAGAACCAACAACTGAGAAGGTAAACTATAAGCAACGTTGCTTCTACTTCCAGCTAACTTTAAACTCATTCAGATTCAATAGAGAACGGAGCCCAATTCGTTGCTTCACAATACAAGAAGAAACACTCAAGAAGGACAACCCAAAACCAACTAACAACAAGATATAGATAGGGACTCACTGAGATGCCATAGCCGGGCCAGAGCCGACTAACACCTAGCAATCTGATTCGCGCAGATTCCTCGACAGATTTTGATTCGAGCGACTCCTTGACAGATTCCAACTAGGTGGTAGGCTGGTAGATGTTGCACTATACTTGCAAACCCATGATTCTAAATGGGATGCCGGAGAATGAATGGATCTAGAACTGGCCGGCAACCTCAACCCTATCGCGGGAGAAATAATTGTTGACGAACAGTCGTGCAAAGAGAGAGAGAGAGGGAGGATATAGGAGAGAGAGATATTGGGTTTGTTTGAAAGGGGCTATCTTAATAGTGGATCTCGAACTGTTCGGTAAGCAGCAGTCGCCATCTCTATCGCGGGAGGGGGAGGGAAATCGTCGATGAATAGTTGAGCAGAGAGCCAGAGACAGGAAATGGAAGAGAGAGAGAGGGGGGGGAATTATAACCTAAAGCAGGAACGTTCTTATCAGTAAAATACTTCTCTGGAAACAAGCCCCTAATGTAGCTTATATTGAAAATTGCTATCCTCCTTCACCTTGTGCGCGACATCCTGAAATAACAAGTATTGAACAAACTGAGGTCAGCTCGAGAGCAAATTGAGAATAAGATCTAGCACAATAAAAGAAGGGATTCTAACCTTCGATTATGCGCTATTCGTGCCCTAGGTTACAGTTACTGCCATGTTTTGGAGAGGATGTTTAGGGTTTTTTGATTGGGGAGGAAAAGGATACTTTTCTGTGTAACGAAGGGAAGGAGAGAGAAAAATTCCCAACACTTAAAATCTGCCCGCAAACTCAAATTCTCACCCCGATAAATGAAAAAGTATATGTTAATAGGACAAATAGTTATTCTCACAACTTACATTGACATAACAAAAACAAAACCCATATATATATTGATGAACCTGTATTTTGTCAGCTCACGTTAGGAATAATAATCCCTATTATGACAAAATAGTTTGTCATTTAAACATGCCATGAAGACATAATATGACGAACATTACTCTGAACGATTAATTTTGTCCTATTTTAGTCTCATACATCTAGATATGGGACGCATATTTTGACAATAGCATATGTGACACAAGAATTTTGTCACATTGCCCATCTACTATGACCAACGCTAATGACAACATAATATCTTGTCACATTAGGCATCCCAAATAGGACGAAGTTGAGTTTTGTCAAATTACACCTTCTATTGTGACAAAAGCTGAGTGACAAAAGTTACATTTTTTCACAACAGACCAAATTTGTTGTAGTGTGCGGACCCAGGTACTTTGCCACCAACCATGTTCTTATCACTACACTATGTGAACAACCACTACATTCGATTGTACTTCAACCAGGATCAGTTTCCCATACCCCCTCTGCATCCACTTTAGCATGGGCTAGCAAATCCTAATGTGGTGGGATAGCAGAGCATCCCATGCAGCATCAAAACTCTCAGGAATCCGAATGACATATCCACCAGGTGCCTCTGGTCGGTCTGCTCGCTGAGGACGCGAAGGGGGAGGCGGTACCATCTGTCGGTATCCAAACTGCCGGAGGCAACGGGCTGGATCATAGAACTCGCCTATATCAGCGAACCGAATCAGTCCAGTGTACAAACAGCGACGCACTGCCTGATGAGGCCTCTGATGGAAAGGTGTCCAAAACACATCAGAAGGGGTCAAGCTGTCAAGAGCTCGACGGTAGAACGCCAACCTCACACTGGGATCAGCCACAGAACCAGGTGCCGGTTGCCCAATCCATCGTGAAGCCCAAGCATCATCAGGTCCAACGAGAGGTGGCTCAAAGTGAGATGGCCTGAAACCCGGAAAGTACTCGTAGATCCAACACTGCAGAAGTGTGAGACAACCAGCCACCTCCCTGACACCAGCATGAGACGCCTGACCAAGGCATCTGTACAACCAAGCAAGTGTACCTGACGCCCAACTGTACTGATCTATCTCCTCCAACTCGTCCAAAAATAGGTTCACCACCGGCCGAACCCTGTCTCTACTCTTGTCCACAAACAAAGTGGACCCCAACATCAACAACAAGTACGACTGTGCCTCTGTCACATGTGTCCCGTTCACCTGCAAGTATCTGGACGCCATCTCCGCAAGAAAACCACCCTTCTCGTACCACTTACCCCTACTAGCAAATCCAGGGGCCTCCGAAACCTGTCTCAACTGCTCCGAGTTCATCCCAAGAAGCGCACACAAACCCACCTCCGGATGGTCAAGCTGCGCAGAAGTCCTACTCATCAGTCGTCCCTCAACAGGAATCTGCAGTAAGTACTGAACATCGTGGAGGAGGATCGTCATCTCTCCAAAAGGAAAGTGGAAGGTGTTCGTGTCTGGCTGCCACCTCTCCACAAAAGCTGAGATCAAAGCCTCATCAATCGCTATCTTGCGGAACATAGAGAAGATCAGGTGCTGGAGAGCTGACTGCTGAACCAGATCCTCCGCCTCAACATGACTAAACACGTAGCTACCAAGATAATCAACCGCCGATGTACGGGTGTAGCAACTGATGACCCCTCGATCTCCAAGCCCCGTCCAAAGCGTATAGGAAGCGTGGCCACGGAAGCTCCTAATGAGGCTAGGATCCGTAGGTCCACCAGGACACTCACCAACAAGCTCCCACGGTGGAGGACCACTCGAACGTCCTCCCCTACTCCATCCAGTCCCTGAGCTCTCTGTCTCCTCACGAGTAGGTGGTACGAATCGCCCAGCTCGGTCCCTATACATAGCAGGACGTGATGTTGCCGTACGAGACGGCACTCGTCCATGTCCACGCGTAGGTGGAGGGACCTCGATATCCTCATCATTATCGTCCTCATAAAACTTAGCCGAGACCACTCTCGATGCAGCACCCTGGTTCCCCCCATTGGAACCAGACGCCCGTGATGACGAACGAGCAACTACAATAGGAGCCTCTAACCCATCCTCCCCTAAATTTGCCTCTGACTGATGTCCAATATCTCGAGAGCGCTTCTTCTCCTTATTCTTCTTAGGCACCTTCCTTCGTGTTGATGCATCAACAACCCTACCATTGAATCTATACAACTCACTCCCACCCGCATCATCCATATCTAATTATCTACAAATTTACACAATATCATACTTAGATGCGCACTAATTAATTAAATTTCTATTAACTAATGTACTATTAACATTAATTGTTAATTAATCACTAATTTACACAATATCATACTTAGATGCAGACTAATTAATTAAATTTCTATTAACTAATGTACTATTAACATTAATTGTTAATTAATCACTAATTAATTAATTTTCTATTAACTAATGTACTATTAACATTAATTGTTAAACCAATTCTTAATTAATTAATTTTCTATTAACTAATCTAAGTAATTAAACATTCATACGCCTATTAAAAAAAAATATTTATACACCAACTTAAAAAAAATATTAACACTAATTTCTAATAACTAATTAAGTAATTTTTTATTGACTAATTAATTAACATATTAATTTAAATTAAATACAAAAACTGGCAGGGCCGAAAATTTTTTGCGGCCGGTGCGCCACCGGGCCGAAAAAAATTTGCGGCCGGTGCGACGTCCGGCCGAAAATCTTTATCGGCTCGTCGTCGCCCCGGCCGCAAATTTGTTTCGGCTGGGCGTCGCGCCGGCCGAAAATTTCTTTCGGCTCGGCGGCGTTCCGGCCGCAATTTTTTTTCGTCCCACCGTGTTTTTCGCCGGAAAACTGGAAAACTTGCCGGAAAACTGGAAAACTTGCCGGAAAATTGAAAAACTTGCCGGAAAAAGTAAACTTACTTGTTTTCCGACGATTGAGGACGACGGGAGGTTGGCCGGCGACGGAGGCACTGGGCTCGTCGACAAAAGTGTTTTTGTTGGACTGAGTCAAATGTTATGGTATTCGAATTTATAGAATGAAAGGAAGGGAGAATTCAAAATTTGAATTCAACTTTTTTTTTTTGTTGGCGACAAATAGCAATTTAGTTGGCGGCAAATAGCCGTTCACAAAATTTCTCCCTCCCAACCGCCACTCTCTGTCGCCGCCTTATTTCCCAAATTGTCGATTGAGATCCCCAATTGCTAAACTGAAGAAGAAGGTCTCAGAAGTTTGGACTTTTTTCAGAAATACCACTGTTTAAAAAAAGAATTCCAAAAATACCACCCAACCCCAAAAAATTCCAAAAATACCACCCTTTTTCAAAAACCGCCAACCCACCCTGCTGTTTACACGAAAACCGCTTGTTGGGGGCGCGGTTTTCTATGCAAACCGCGGGGCTAAGGGGCGGTTATAAAAAAAAATTTTGGACCAAACCGCTTGGTGGAGTGGCGGTTTGGCCCAAAACCGCCACCCCACCCAGCGGTTTGGTCCAAATTATTATTTTTTTTTCGATGAACTCCTAATGATGACTCGATATTTACACATGCTTTCCCCTTTGTTTCTTGATCTTTTAAGCTTGCATTATCCCTTCTTTGGCCTATTTTACGCTAGGTTGTGTTCCTTTGTCACATTTCAGGTCCTAGCACATAAAGTGAAGCGTTGGCGCAAGTTTCAAGTCAATCGGAGATCAATTGGCGACTCGGGGTAAGAAACTCGGGTATGACTTGAAGAAGAATGGATTTCTACCTCAGTTTGTGACCATATAATCATGTAATCTTGTCATGAGAAGAAAGAGGACGAGACTACGAGCGTCTGGGATCAAACGGCACCTGATTTGGAGTCCGAACGAGGGAGAAACGAAGATTCATAGGTAGGGGACCCGGAACTGCAAAATACCCGACCATAATACCCTACCGGGTATTTTTGGCCATCTGATAGGGGATTTTTGGCAGCATCAGAAGGCCCCCCGGTCGTGAACCAAAAATACCCGACCGGTACTAAAAATACCCGACCGGGTATTTTCCCTTTTGCCCAGAATAGTGACCCGGAGCATTTTGTTGATACCCGACCGGTTCCCTAAATACCCGGACCGGGTATTCTGACCGGGGATCGCGAACGCAGGCTGTTAAAAGCCTGTTTTGTGCGTTTTTGCAAGGGAGAGCTGGATTTTGGATCCCAAACACCCAAGGGACGAACCAAAGAGAGAGAGGGCGATTTGAGGGCATTCTAAGAGTTGAATTGGAGGATCCTTCTCCTTGGAAGCTTGAGGAACAAGCCCGGACTTGAAGACTGATCATCTGAAGATTCTTACTGCAGTCTCTCTCTTCTCTATGGAGTAACTTCCCTTCACTTAGGTTTTGAGGAACCCTAGCTATGTTTGTTTGATTGGATGATTGTATGAGTACTCTGACTTGATAATCTTGAGTTCATATTCAATCTATGCATGTTTTCATGATTCAATTCTGCTTTAGTCGAGATTATTGATTCTGCTTTGATCCTATGAGAGCGAATACCTGATTAGGTCAATAGAGCACCATAGATTGATAGTATTGGATCGATTGCTTTAGTCGAGGGTTGATTCACTGCTTTGTATCGATTGAGAAACTCTTTCGATAGAGGGAGTCTAGTTCAGAACGCCTTGATCGGTTGTTCTAGAGAAGGATACGTCCCTCTAGGCAATTGACTCAAGAGGGTCTTGTTCCTTTAGTCGAGACTCAAGGTCTAGTCAAGGATTCTCCGCATTGTGAATGAAAGTGAAACAAGTTAGAGATCATCAATCGTTAATCCGGCTAGTGGCTAAGGGGAATCATACCTAAGTGAGTTCCCAACCTGTAATTAGATTAACTTTAATTGTAGTTTGCTAGAGTAGTTTTAGTTCTTTCATCTTAATCTGGTTTGCTAGATAATGAACTGAAGCTGAGTAATAGTAACTCTAGAGACCCGTGAATTCGATATTTATTACTTGAGCCACTATACTGCAGTCCCTTTCATTGGTTACACTTGGCCATTGTTAGGAGTTGTGTCATAGCGAGTCACCTAACTTCGACCGAAACTTCAAATGAACGTAACTTTGTACTCGGGTATCCGATCGCAGCAATTTTTTTTTCATTTCGCATACCTTTTCAAGATCTAAAACTTTTACTAGGATGAAATTTTCAAAACAGGAATTATTTGTGGATATACGGGACCTTGGGAATAACTTTACATTTACTTTTCACAAATCCATGTACATTTTGAAATTATGATTATGTAAGAAGTTGTAGATCTTGAAAATTTATGCGGAATCAAAAAAAAATTCATGACATTCGGATTTGGGAGCACAAAGGTATGGCCGCCCAAAGTTTGACGAAATCAAAAAAAGACTCGTTCGGGGTTGCAAATGACGTTTTTTCGAGACGAAGGCGGGACCCGTTAGTTCGCGGCTTGCAAGATCTCAAAAATTTATTTGGATTCAAAAAATGGAGGCCGCAAACTTTTTGAGATCTTGCAAGCCGCAAACTGCCGGGTCTCGCCTTTCGTCAAACTTTGGGCGGCCATAACTTTGTGCTCCGAAATCCAAACGTCATTTTTTTGATTCCGCATAACTTTTCAAGATCTACAAATTTTAATATAATAATAATTTCAAAATGTACATGGATTTGTGAGAAGTAAAAATAAAGTTATTCTCAAGGTCCCGTATATCCACAAATAATTCCTGTTTTGAAAATTTCATCCTAGTAAAATTGTAGATCTTGAAAAGTTATGCGAAATGAAAAAAAAATTGCTACGATCGATACCCGAGTGCAAAGTTACATTCGTTTAAAGTTTCGGCCGAAGTTAGGAGTTGATAAAAAAAAAATTTGGACCAAACCGCTGGGTGGGGTGGCGGTTTTGGGCCAAATCGCCACCCCACCCAGCGGTTTGGTCCAATTTTTTTTTTATAACCGCCCCTTTAGCCCCGCGGTTTGCATAGAAAACCGCGCCCTCGACAAGCGATTTCCGTGTAAACCACAGGGTGGGGTGACGGTTTTTGAAAAAGGGTGGTATTTTTGGAATTTTTTGGAGTTGGGTGATATTTTTGGAATTTCTTTTTAAACAGTGGTACTTTTGAATTTTTTCCATTCTGACTTCCCATCTTCTCACCTTTACTTTCCTCTAAAAAAACCCCAACCCCAGGTCTCCCAACCAAACAAATTGATACCCAGATCGACATCGCCCATCTCTTTCCCCCTGTTAATTATGAGTCCAACACCAGGAAAATCTTCCAAAATCACCGAATCCCATTCGTTTCCCAGCGGCCTTTCCCTCAAGTTTTCTTCAGTCGTTTCTCTTCGACACTCCACTCCTAAAGCAAAAAAAAAAAAAAAAACTGAAATCTCACCCATGGATTCTTCTCTCGCGTAAGTCAATTTCTCACCCGAAAAGCTAGAACCACGAAATCTCAAACCCCAAATCTCTCTCCAGCCAGCATATATAAAATATTCTCCTTCTTAGCCCTCTACTAAATCTCCATTATATCGTAATCGACCTGCATTCAAGCTACTCCACCGCTTTGCTCTTCCAATTGGACCTTCGGAGATCCGGCGTCATCCACCTCCTTCCCCTCAATAGTCATCGCATGGGACTGAAACCTATGACGTTGAAGAAGAGACAACGGTCGGTAGTAAAGAAACTTGAGGTGAAATGTAGCCTTCAAAATTATGGGAGAATGTGGTCAATAGACTTCATCATCAGTGGAAATAGTCTCCGGTCAAAGCCGTAAACTGTTTCCTTCAAAATCGAATGCAAATGACATTTGTCAAAAAAAAAAACCTTTGTATTGTAATATACCAAAAATGGAACTAGAAGAAATCCCCCCTAATTATTGAGTAATGAAATTAATCATTGGTGAGTAATAGCCTAAGACCGAATCTGTAATTAGTAACTTTCAAAATTCAAGGAAAATAACCTTTCGAACAAATAGCCCAAAAAATTACGAAAATGCCCTCCAAAAATAAATCCACCCAACTAGGTGCTTAATGGACTTAATCGTCGGTGGTTAATAGGATTAATAGGCTTCATCATCGGTGGAGAATAACCTCAGGCCGAGTCCGTGATATGTGGCCTTCAAAATCTGAAAGAAATGGCATTTCGGAAAAATCGTCTGAAATATGTGATGCTACCTCTTTGGAATCTGCCAAAAATGGACCCTGAAGAAATCATACCAAATCTCTTATTAATGGAGTTAATAATCGATAAAGAAAAGCCTCATGCCAAATTCGTGATCTATAGCCTTCAAAATTCAAGGAAAATGGCTTTTCGGAAAAAAAAATGATAAAAAATTACGAAAATGGCCATTGAAAATAAATCCTCCCAAATCGATGCTTAATAGATTTAATCTTCGGTGGAGAATAGGACCAATAGACTTCATCATAGGTGGAGAATAGCCTAGGGATGAATATGTGATCAGTAGCCTTCACAATTGAAAGAAAATGGCATTTTGGAAAAATCACCTGAAATTTGTGATGGTACCCTTTGAAATCTGCCACAAATAGACCCGAAAGAAATTCTCCAAATCGGTGCTTAATGGACTTAATCATTGGTGAAGAATAGTCTCAGGCCAATTCCCCAATCTGTAGCCTTCAAAAGATTAACGAAAATGTCATCCAAAAATAAATCTGCCCAAATCGTTGTTAAATGGACTTATTCATTGGTGTAAAATGGGATCAATAGAATTCATCATAGGTGGAGAATAGCCTCGGGCCGAATCGGTGATCTATAGCCTTCAAAATCGGAAAAATGGCATTGCGAAAAAATCTTCTGAAATCTATGGCTGTACCTCTTTGGAATCTGCCAAAAATAGCAAGGAAGAAATTCACCCTAATCGGTTCTTAATGGACTTAATCATCGATGAAGAATCGGATCAAGGTGAATATGTGATATGTAGCCTTCGAAATCCATGAAAAATTACCTTTCTATAAAATCCCCAAAAAATTATGAAAATGATATCCGAAAATAAATCCACCCAAAT